CGACGAAGTCGGCCAAGGCTTGTGCTTTCAGGGCCTTCCTTCTCTCGTACTGAATGTTGAATTCAGAGAGTTCCAAGGACCACTTCAGCATCCTGCCCGCCATATCTGGCCGACCCAGGAGTTGCCTCACCGGCTGATCGGTTCGCACGATGATGGTGTGGGCTAGAAAGTAGTGTCTGAGCCTCCTCGCAGCGTTGACGAGGGCCAGAGCAACCTTTTCTATCTGTTGATATCTGCTTTCAGGGCCTTGTAAGGCTTTGCTCGTGAAGTAGACGGGTTTCTGCCCGTCAGGGGTCTCGCGGACAAGGGCTGCGCTGATGGCTTCGTTCGAAACGGCCAAGTATAAGTACAGTGGTTCCCCGTCGTCTGGTCGAGACAACACGGGCGGTTGAGACAGGCTCTGCTTCAGATGGCGAAGTGCGTGCTCGCATTCCTCGTTCCACTCGAAGGCTGCTTCCTTTCGAAGGAGCTTGAAGAAGGGGAGGGCGTGCTGAGCGGACTTCGCGACGAAGCGGGATAGTGACGTCAACATGCCGTTCATGACTTGTATCGACTTCTTCGACGTCGGTGTCGGGAGGTCAGAGAACGCCCGACATTTGTCGGGGTTGGCTTCAATCCCTCGTTCTGTTAGATAGAATCCAAGGAATTTTCCTGCCTTAACCCCGAACGTGCACTTCTCGGGGTTGAACCTCATTTTGCACTGTCTTGCTTGGGCGAAGACTGTCTTGAGATGAGCTGCGTGATCGGTGTCTGCTCGGGATTTGACGATCATGTCGTCCATATATACCTCGAGCATGTCGCCAATCTGTTTGTTGAACACTTTGTTCATCATACGTTGGTATGTTGCTCCAGCGTTCTTTAGTCCGAAGGGCATTACGTTGTAGTAGTAGTTGCCCGAGCTGGTCATGAACGCCGTGCAGTGTTTGTCGCCCAGAGCCATTGGGATTTGGTTATATCCCGAGTAGGCGTCCATGAACGACAAAGTCTTGTAGCCGGCCGAGTTGTCGACCAGCATGTCTATGTTAGGTAAAGGAAAGGCATCCTTCGGGCAAGCCCGGTTGAGGTCGGTATAGTCAACACACATTCTCCATTTTCCATTATTCTTTTTAACAAGTACAACATTTGACAGCCAGGTGGAGTACCGGGCTTCAGAAATAAAATTTGCCTCTAGGAGGTCTTTTACAGTTTTTTCAGCAGCCTCCGTTTTTTCTGGAGACTGCCTACGCCTACGTTGTACTACGGCCTTGGCGGCTGGATCAATGGTGAGGTGGTGACAGGCGACCTCAGGGTCGAGTCCGGGCATCTCTGTAGCGCTCCAGGCGAAGAGATTAGCATTCTCGCGCAGACAGGCCTTGATTTGTTTCCTGGCCAAGTCGGGGAGGTCTTTGCCAATCTTCACTCCCTTGGTCGGGTCTGCTCCGAGGGGAACGAGTTCAAAATCACCGTCCGGAATAGGTCGGAGTGGGATTTGCTCGCTGCTGGATGGCTCGTCCTGGTCGAAGCGAGCGTCGAGGGCTATGGAGTCGACCTTTGGTGGAGCCTTCTGGACTTCTTCCTCGGGGGATGCTTTTCTGTCGGGCTCCTGCTTTGTCCTCTTGGTGGGTCTGGTCCCCACGTCGACGGTATCCCGTCCCTTTGAAGCAGCGTTGAAGCACCTGCGGGCAGCGGCGAGGTCTCCCTAGATGGTGGCTACCCGTGCCCTTTTGGTATATAACTTCATTTTTAGATGGACAGTCGAGGGCACCGCTGTCAGCTCCGCCAATGTCGGTCTCCCCAAGATGCAATTGTATAGAGACGGGCAATCAATGACGAGGAAGCGGACCTTGACTTGTCTCGTAGTCGTTCCTTCACCGAACGTAACCAGGAGCTCGACATAACCCCAAGGTTTGGAAGTCGAGCCGTTGAAGCCTTGAAGATCCGAACCCACATATGGAGAGAGATGTGAGTCGTCCAGTTGCAAGGTCCGGAACAGCTGGCTGTACATCACGTCGACGGAACTCCCTTCGTCGACCAGGATGCGATGCACGTCAAAATTGGCCATTTTTGCCCTTATCAGCAAGGGGATGACTGCGTTCGGGGCTCCGCCGGGGAGTTCTTCCAGGTAGAAGGTGATGGGCTCTGACCTGCCCTTCACCCTTTCGAACGTCACAGCTTGTGGAGGAGCTATGTCAACCAGTTCGTCCAACTTCCTCTTGGCTGAATTGATGGTGAGGTCGTTGAACCCGCCCCCGTTGATGACCATGGCGGAGGGGAAGTATTCCCACCTGCTGTGTGTTGTCAGGGGCTCCTGCAGGAGCTCGGGAACGTCAAAATCCTCGGGCCTGGTTACTGAGAAGGCGGTCTGGATTGGTACCGACTCGTCTGATGGTCGGGCATCTTCGTCGGGCTCCTTGGCTTCATGGGCGTCACGACGGGGAGCGTCGTTTCGCCTGTACTGTGCGAGCCTCCCTCCCTTGATGAGGGTTTCAATGGCGTCCTTGAGGTGGACGCAGTCCTCTGTCAAATGACCATGACTCCTATGGTATTGACAGTATTTATTTTTATCTGCCCCTGGCTTGGCGGGAGCAGGTCGGGGACGCTTGACGACACCGTCTCTGAAATCTGTACTAGCACACTCCGCCAGAATACGCTCGCGGGAAGCCGTGAGCGGAGTGTACTCGGTGAAACGGCCCGAGGGGCCCCTTTGTTCCCGGACCTCCCGGGGTCGATCTTCCTTCCTTTTCTCCCCGGTACGTCGGGGAGGAGGGTCTTGTCGTGAGCTGCTGCTGTTGTTGGGAGCGCGAGCCCTGGAGTCTCGGGCCCTGTTGGCAGCTTCTCTCTCCTCGTAGTCCATGTATGCTCGGGCCTTGTCGAGGAGGGCATCAAAAGTTGGAGGTGGTTCAATACCCACAGCTTTTCTGAATTCTGTGCCGGGGAGGAGGCCCCTCTCCAGCAAATATCTTTTCATATGGTCCGCGCAGGGGACCTGTATTGCTTCCCGGTTGAAGCGGTTGATGAATTCCCTCAAGGTTTCATCCTGTCTTTGGATGATGGCCTCGAGGTCCGCCTCGGTCTTCGGATGGCGCCGAGAAGCTGTGAAGGAACTGATGAACTGGTTCTTCAGGTTCCGCCACGACGTGATTGAGCCCGGGGCGAGTCCTTTATACCAGTCCATGGCCGCCTTCTTGAGAGTCGTGGGGAAAAGACGACACTTGATGGGCCCCCCGACATTATGATAGTGGAGCATGGCTTCGAACCCGTCAATGTGGTCGACCGGGTCCGCTACTCCGTCATACTCCTTCAGATGCGGGGGCTTCTCCATGCCCGGGGGGATAGGTGCATCCATGATAGCCTGCGACAGGAGACCGCGGGGGTCGTCCTCGTCGCTCCTCTCCGGAGAAAGAGAAGGGGTCCTGTAGGTATGTCTGGCACGATGATCGTGCTGAGATTCCCTCGAGCGTGATGCTCGGTGGTTGAAGGTCACACGCCCGTCTCCGGCGTGCCTCTTGTCGTGCCTTGTTGGGTCGCGATTGGGTTCTTCGGCAGGGATGACGGGCTGTCTCTCATGGTAGGGCCGCCTCTGCTTTGGCCGGGGGGAAGGGATTCTGGAGTTCTCCCTATAGTGTCTTCGCGGGGGAGAAGGGTGTCGAGCTTCCGTGACCCGAGGAGGAGGAGAATGTGGCCTCCGATGCCTCCTCGGGGGTCGTCGATCATCTTCAAGTGCCCTTAATCTTTTTCCTTGGGCAAAGATGAGGTAATTTGTTTGATTAATGGCCGCGAACAGTGCCTGAGTCGTGGCATCTGCCCCGGCAGGAACTGGGACTTCATAGAACCGGGCAGCTCTGCGATGAGCGAGAGCCACCGGGTCGTTTTCGAGTGCTGGAGGGGTCGTAGAGGATGATGCAGTAGCCCCGTCCCTGTAGGAGGAAGGTCCAGGGGCGGTTGTCACAGGGATGGCACTGTGGCCGGGATCACCGGGATTGTCGAGGTGTCCATTCTTGTCCGCGGGACCGTTATTAGTGTCGGCGACACGGACGAGCTGCTCGTCGCGAGCTGGATCAGCCATGACAGGTAATTGAATTGAGCTTTGGTCTTTAGAATTGTTCGTTAGACGGGGAAGCTGGTTCCCACAGACGGCGCCACTGATCTGACCTGATCAGAAATGGACCGTCACGGCTGGCTCCGAGCAGAAAGCTTTTTTGAACGAGGTGGGGGGGGGGGGGTACCTGCAAGGCACTCCGATGCTGAAGTAAGTAGGAGTACGAGCAGATAATAGTAAGTTGAGGTTAGAATGATGAATACCTGACCCTCTGGAAGCAGAGGGTATTTATAGCCCCCAGCGCTGGGCCAAGGTTCCTTCATTGGGCCGGGCAGGTTTGGCCCAATGGAGGAACTGCCAGGTTCTACATGGGTAGTGGGGACCCGCACGTGGTCCCCTTCCTGGATGTTCTGCGTGAAGTGCGGGCGGACGGAGACGCGGTCTTTCCGGAGTATCGTTGGGGGGAACAGTGGACTGAGTCTGCCCTAGTTGGGATGCTCGAGGCAATGTCGAGCTGGACAGCGGATGTCGAGCTGGACAGCAGGACGTGGAGCTGGACCGCAGTATGTCGAGCTGGACATCAGGATGTGGAGCTGGACCGCAGTATGTCGGGCACGGCTGTGACCCTCACCTCGGCGTGGTCCTCAGTAAGTCCATTTGGATTGGGCCTTAGCAATGCTTTTGGGCCTGTCGGGCCCAGTCCAGAACAAGTCGTATTTAAGTTGACCAGAAAAAGTCAGTTTAAATCAAAGTTTGCATCGTCTTTCAGTTGTAAAATACCCGACATTTCACTTCATTCATTTTTATCTGTTTACTATTTTCTTGCACTGCTCCAAATTGTTTATATGTCGATAATAAAATATTTCGGTTTTATAGACAGACTGTTAAAAGCGATTCGACACTATGCGGGAAAGTAGCGAGAAAATATTTCAAGTTTTCACCTTTTACCGATCATTTTATGAATCTGCGCTTCGCGTAGATTATGACGGTATGCTCGCTTTATTTTTTCGGTACAGTTCGAAGTCTCGTTTTTAACCTTAAACGTCTGTTTAGTCTGATATTTTTATTATTATTTTATTTTTGATTTTTGACTTCTTGAATATTTTTTCTTTAATCTTTGTGACAGGTAGTTTATTTTAATGTGTTCATTTCATTTTTTCAGATAGATTTTTGTCCATTTTCTTATCGTTTTTAGTCATTTTCGGGTATCTATTTTTTATTCGGAAAAATTCAAAAAATATATTTTAAATTGCATTAATTTGTACACTTTCAGGTTTTTAAGTCATTTTTATTTTTAGAGGGATTTTTAATCATTAATTTTTTTGTTAAACTATTCTTTTTTCTAATTGGTTGTAAGAGGTAGTGCAGGATTGATAAATTAGAAAAGAAAAAGAGTGAACGAGATGGGATAATCAGAAATCATTTCCTCTTCATCTTGCTATTTAATAGTCTCTTTTTTTCTTTGTGGACAACTCACTTTCCTCTCACTATCTAGCAAATTACTCCCTCCACTACCATTCACAAAAACAACAACATAACCCACCGTCAGTCGCTGCTCCCTTCGTGTTGTTTTCGTTCAAAACCCATTGAACCCACAAACATCCCCTTCTAGAAACTCCATGTTCTGCCCCTCTCTCAACCTTCCATACACCTCCTTCAATTTCACTACCAACCTATCACTAAACTCTATTTGTCTAACTTGGATGATAGGGTTTCCAACGAAGATATTCATCTGTTGTTCTCGGAAGAGGGTGTGTTGGAAAGGTATTCCATTCATTATGATCAGTTTGGGAGATCAAAAGGAACAACAGAAGTTGTCTTTACAAGGCAGTCTGATGCTTTATCAGCCCTCAAAAGGTACAACAATATGAGGTTTGATGGAAAGCCACTGCAAATTGAGCTTATTGGAATTGGAACAAGCATTATTACTCCTGCCAATAAGCAAATTGGAAAAAGCTCTATTACTCCTGCTGATACTCCTCTTGGTCAAAGCAGCATACTGGGAAGAACAAATGATCGCGTCTTTGCAAGGGAAGAAAGGAAGATTGGAGGTATCAGGTTCCATAACAGCTTTGCACATGGCTATCTTCCAATGGGCCATGGAAAAGAGAAGTTCCATATAAGGAAAGTGTCTCTTGGAGCTACTGATCCCAACTTCGAGAGTTATGACCGCCGTCGTGTAGAAACAAAACGCAATTTCCAAAAGTTGTCTGTGAAAGATCTTGATGAAGATCTGGATAAGTATCACTTAGAGGCTAAGAAGATTAACAAAAAAAATGGAAAGGGAAATCAGGACTGATATGAATGGCTCCTATTATATGAGTAAATAGATCAGGTAAGCACTTTTGATTTGCATGACTTTCCTTAAGTAATAGTTTGCCCTTTGTAAATGTCATTTTGAAACTTCTAGATTAGGGCCTTCATCAAGATCTTTAACATACACCTATCAAGTATATTTAGCAAACATGTTCCCTATATTTTATTTGTTTCTGATGGCTCAGTGTAGATACAGAATGAACCGTTGCTTTCTTTTACACTAGAAAAATCAAAATGCAGTTATGTCCAAAAAGAAGGCTAGATGAAATTTAAGGTCTATGCGCTTAGAATTCTAGTACTCCATCCTTAAAATATATGCCATGTTTGAGATGATTTTTTGTGTTTTTTTTATATAAAAATATCTTTCAGATTTGCAACTAACATATATCTTTAAAATATGCCGGTTACATTTTTCTGTACTTTGTAATATACTAAATATTATTTGTTGTAAAAGATGATATTGTAAAATAAAATATTGTAATATCTAACTAAATATATTAGTAAATCTTATAATTAATTTAGTTTAATATTAATTTAGAATTCTTTAATTAGTTTAGATTTATTTTATAACTTTAGAATTTTATTTCATTTAGTAAATTTTAGAATTTTATTTGTTTTAGTTTAGTTTAATAACTTTAGAATTTTATTTGATTTTATTTAAGTTAACTTTAGAATTTTATTTGTTTAGTTTTAGTTTAATAATTTTAGAATTTTATTTGATTTTATTTAAGTTAACTTTAGAATTTTATTTGTTTAGTTTTAGTTTAGTGACTTTAGAATTTTTATTTGATTTAGAATTAGTTTAATAAACTTATAATTTTTATTTGATTTAGAATTAGTTTAATAAGTTTATAATTTTCATTTAGTTTAATAACTTTAGAGTTTTTATTTGATTTAAATTTAGTTTAGTGGTTTTAGAATTTTATTTGATTTAAATTTAGTTTAGTAACTTTGGAATTTTCATTTGTTTTAGATTTAATTTAGTAACCTTAGGATTTTAATTTAATTTAGATTTAACTTACTAAATTTTAAAACTTTAGTTTAGTTTAGATCAAATTCAATAATACTAGATTTTTTTTATAACCTTAGAATTTGTAATTAGTTTAGAATTATTTTAGTAAGTAATTTTTTAATTTAGTTCGAATAACTTCTTTAGATAATTAGTTATATTCCTTTTATTTGTATATGTCTGTCATTTCAATTTCTCGGTGCCTCTTGATCATTAATTTGTTTTTGTCAGATTTATTTTCTTGTGAACTTCTGAATGTTTATATTTTGATGTTCATTTTATTTTGCTTACTCCAAGGGAAAGAATTAAATTTGTTGACTTCATGTCACCGAACATATCTCATACGATTGCGCGAACCCCTTCATTCATTTTTTTGCTTGTTTACTATTTTGCTAAACTTAAGATAATTTTCCCAAAAGACTCAATTTTAAAGCTCACACCTTTAAGTCAAAACTTCGACACTAGGTCGTCGCATCTTCAAAATCTCGCGAACACCTATTTTTAGCCAAACGAACCATTTTAATCAAACAAACAATTTTAACCAAAAACAGATATTTCAAAAGGTTTCTGCGGAGTACCGCAGATGCATTGGGTGCTAATACCTTCCCATTGTATAACCAACCCCCGAACTCTAGATATCTTTCAAAAATGCATTGTATTTTTATTACTTTTAAGTATTATTTTACATTGCATATTTTAGGGTTTTATTTCGCACTTTTCCCTTTTCCCTTGGAAATAATAAAGCGCGGTGGCGACTCTTGCTTTTTGTGAGTCAAGTTAATTAATAGCTTGATCTCCGATTTTCACCGCTACAGTGATCCAATGAGACATAGTCATACGCTTTAAATCCCTAACTTTTTCCTGGAACACCCTTTCTGGTTTTTGGTCCACCGGGATACCCTTTTTTCCCAATTCGCCTCTTCAGGTTTTCATCTTGCCGGGTGTACAGTTTTTTTTGTATTTTATCCCTAATTTTTGCCCGAACCCTTTTGGTTCGCCGGGATGCCCTAATTTTTTCCTAGGTCATTCGACCTAGCAGGTCTTTATTCATGCATAGTATCTTTTAATTATGTCTGTGTTTATAAGGTGCGGAAGTTCATCACCATCCATAGTGGTCAAGGTCGTTGCTCCACCAGAGAATATGTTTTTAATCACAAATGGTCCTTTGTATGTAGGAGTCTATTTACCCCTGGGATCACCTCGTGGCAATATGATACGCTTTATTACCAAGTCACCAACCCGATATACCTGACGTTTGACCTTCTTGTTAAAAGCTTTGATCATACGTTTTTGGTACATCTGACCATGACAGACAGCCGTAAGCCTCTTCTCATCAATCAAGTTCAGCTGGTCAAGTCGAGTTCGAATCCATTCATCTTCATTTAACCTTACATCCTTTATGATTCTCAAAGAAGGTATTTGGAATTCAATTGGCAAGACAACTTCCATGCCGTATGCCAAAGAGAAAGGAGTTGCCCCTGTTGATGTGCGTGCCATGGTACGGTATCCGTGGAGAGCAAATGGTAACATCTCATGACAGTCTTTGTAGGTCACTGTCATATTTTGTATGATCTTATTGATGTTTTTATTAGCGGCTTCTACAGCACCATTCATCTTCGGCCGGTAAAGAGAAGAGTTATGATGCTGAATCTTGAACTGTTTACAGAGGATATCACCTTTGAAATTTCCCACAAGAAGAGAATCAGTTAGCGGATGCGCTAGCTACTATATCGTCAATGTTCAAGGTCAGGTGGGACAATGAGGCTCATCAAATAACTATTGAGAGGTTGGATGAACCAGCATACTGCTGTGAGATCGATACTGAGGAGGTAGTCGACAAACCTTGGTTTGATGAGGTGAAAAGGTATCTTGAGGCTCATGAATACCCCAAGGGGGCATCTGTCAATGACAAGAAATTTTTGAGAAGGTTTGCTGCAAAGTTCTTTCTAAGAAATGGAATCCTCTATAAGCGCAATCATGACTCTACCTTACTGCGGTGTGTATACAAGAGCGAAGTAGAGATGATCATGGAAGATCTACACGAAGGTACCTTCGACACTCATTCCAGTGGACATGCCATGGAAAAGAAGATCCTACGGGCAGGGTACTATTGGTCCACTATGGAAGCTGACTATTATCAGCATTCTCGATCCTGTCACAAGTTCCAAATCTATGCTGATAAGGTGCATGTACCTCCAGTTCCCTTGAATGTTTTGACGGCTCCCTGGCCCTTTGCAATGTGGGGCATTGACATGATCGGCGAGATTAGACTTACCGCGTCCAACGGGAATCGCTTCATCCTAGTGCCCATTGATTACTTTACAAAGTGGGTTGAGGATGCCTCCTTTGCTACGATTACTAAGAATGTGGTGGCACGGTTCATCAAACGTAACCTGGTTTGTCGTTATAGTATCCCTGAGAGAATCATCACGGACAACAGTACCAATCTCAACAACTCGATGATCACTGAACTCTATAAACAGTTCAAGATTCAGCATCACAACTCTTCTCCTTATCGGCTGAAGATGAATGGGGTTGTTGAAGCTGCTAACAAGAATATCAAAAAGATCATACAAAAGATGAAGGTGACATACAAAGACTGGCACAAGATGTTACCGTTTACTCTTCACGGGTACCGTACTTCAGCACGTACGTCGACAGGGGCAACACCCTATTCTCTGGTATATGGCATGGAGGTTGTCCTACCCATATAGGTCCAGATCCCTTCTCTATGAATTATGAAGGATGCGAGTTTGAGCGAAGACGATTGGATCCAGACTCGACTTGATCAATTGAACTTAATCGACGAGAAAAGACACATTGTTGTCTGCCATGGTCAAATGTATCAGAAACGGATGATCAAGGCCTTCAATAAGAAAGTCATACAACAAGTGTATCAAGTAGGGGATCTGGTAATCAAGCGCATTATACTGCCGCAAGGTGATCCCAGGGGAAAATGGACTCCCACCTATGAGGGACCATTTGTAGTGAAGAATATTTTCTGGTGGAGCCATGATTCTGACCACCATGGACGGTGACGACTTTCCACACCCTGTCAATACAGACATAGTGAAAAGATACTACGCATAACAAAGACCCGCTAGGTTGACATACCTAGGAAAAATAAGGGCATCCCGGCGAACCAAAAGTGTTCGGGCAAAAATTAGGGATAAAAAAATAAAAAATCTGTACACCCGGTAAGTCGAAAACCCAAAAGGGCAGCTTGGGAAAAAAGGGTATCCCGGTGGACTGAAAACCCGAAAGGGCGTTCCAGGAAAAAGTTAGGGATTAAAGCATATCACTATGTCCCATTGGATCACCTTGCGATCAGACTTCAGTAATCTGATATCAAGCTCAAACGGTACCGATCAATCCAGTCAACTTCGGACAAGCAGCAAAGTGATGAGATGCTCGAAAACATAGGGGCAATAGAAGAATTGAAACCCAATGGGATCACTACACATAGTTTTTTTCTTTTTGTACACAATTTTTGTAATAATTTCCATTTTTTACGGCAGCATTCTCTTACTAGAGCGTCAGCCTCCTTGTAAAAAACGATTGTTATAGGCAAATTTCAAATCAATATAAAGCGTCTTTTAAGTACAAAACTGTGTGTTTGTTTTTTCGTTTTCTGTTTTGTTTGCAAAAACGTACAATGTTTTATTCTTGACATATGCATTTGAATATGATTACTGTTCACAAATATCTGCATATAAAATAGAAAGACAGTTACTAAGAAAACTGGTACAAAAGCTAAATACTGACAGTTACCCCGTCCATCATGGTACAAGGGGCAGAGACAGTTGGAAGCAAAGTCACTATTGAAGGGGTAAGAAAACACTTAGAAGGGGGGTTGAATAATTGACTCTTTTTCTTTTCAAAACAAAGGTCAACAATAATGGAAAGACAGGGTTATTTTTATCTTGGTTCGTTTGAACTCAAACTACTCCAGTCCACCCATCAAGGTGATTTTT